TTTCCCACTTTTTTTTTTTTTTTTTTTTTTTTCAGATATCCAAGAGTTTTTTTCAAACTAAGAACTTGTATTAATTTACAGAGAAGTTTTCCACTGTGCTCAAAAATCAGATCAAACTCAGAGAGGAGCGTGAAGCGCAGAGGCTTAGAATGATGAATGCAGATCCCTTTGATACAGAGGCACAGAGGTTTATTGCTGAGGACATTAGACAGAAAAATATTAAAGCCAACATGGAGGCTGCAATGGAGTACAATCCAGAGACTTTTGGCTCAGTTGTTATGTTATATGTTAATTGTAAAGTGAATGGATTCCCAGTCAAAGCATTTATCGATACAGGTACACAGTATTCTTAACTCTATTTACATTTACCAATGAACACACCATTGGACTGGAGACAAGATTATTTTTGAGTGTCTTTGTTTGGCTGCCTTTGGCTGTCTATTTTTAAATCCTGCATTTTGAAAGTCATTCTTTGTTGTTCATGGAGGGAGTAGTTTAAATTTAGCCTCTTACACGAGCCACATTTTTATTCGCTGAGACGCATTTCGTCTCTCTCACCAAAAGATAACAGAATTTTATGAAAAATTAGGTGCGCAGTCGACGGTAATGTCCGACGCCTGCGCGGAAAGATGCCACATAATGCGACTAGTGGACACGAGGTGGGCTGGAATTGCTCATGGAGTTGGTACACAGCCTATAATTGGTCGCATACACATGGTACAAATCCAAATAGGCAATGATCACCTGACAACCTCGTTCACTGTCCTCGCGGAACAAAGCATGGACATGTTACTCGGTCTGGACATGCTGAAGAGCCACCAGTGCTGCATAGATTTAAAGAAGAACGTGCTACAGATTGGCACCACTGGTGCTGAGACACCATTCTTAGCTGAAGGTGAACATCCACAGGGTTTTTATGACAATAGACTATTCTTTTTAATTTTTCATTGGGCATAGGTGGTTTTTTTTTTTTTTTTAATCAGGGGAATTGCCAGAGTGGTTGAGGTTAAGTGGCTACAGTGACATGAGCAATTACGACGTGGAGGATGATGAGGGCGAGATGAAAGGACCCAGAGCTTTGGAGGATGGCTCCAGGGATGCAAAGAAGTAGCGTCGGCAACTTGGTAAGGATTTAGACTATCCTGTTTTCCTCAGATCCTTTCAAAATCCTCCCATACACTGTGTTAAGCAAAAAGTTCATCCAGCTAAAACAGGTCCTTCTCTGTCAATTCACTTTTATGACTAAATCAAGAATGGAAACAGTATTTTTCCTTGGCTTTTTTTCTTCAATGGGTCTGGCAGATAGATTAGAGGGCAACAGCGGTCCGTCGAGCAGGGCCAAGGCAGGCCCCATAGAGAGCACAGTCTTCTCTCATGATCCTTTCACAGAGGAGACAGTCAAGGAAATAGAATCTTTGGGATTCGGCAGGGTCCAGGTGATCGCAGAACTTCGCAGATTCAACGGGGACAAGACTCAAGCTACCGATGCATTGTTCACCAAAAATTTTTAATTTTAAATCAGGGAGGGAAAAAAAAGAAAGATTGTGAAGTGAAGTAAATAGGGGGGAAGAAAGATTTCTACTTGATCTTTAGTAGCGATTTTTTAATATCGACGCAATTGTACATTGAACATGTGAGAAGGTTGCTGCAGTAGCAACTAGGGACGCCATATTGATAAGCTACGTACTTCCTGTGCATATCTTCTCTTATCCTTCTTCTTCTTCTTTTTTGGAGAGGGAGAAGGTTATCGAGTAGAGTTTATCTGCTATCAGCGCGTTCTGATAATCTAACTTGTATCATTATCGTAATACGTATGTCTAGGGATCAGTATAATAAGAACAAAAAAATGGTTTAAAGTTAGCTGAACAGCTTGTATCGTTTAAATCTGAGGTTAGTCACGTTCGTGAATTTTTATTTTTATTTTACCAAATTAATTAAACGAACGGCTACACCTAAGCGTGTTAAGCTTTTTTTAATCATAAACAAATTTCACGAACGTTTCGAACGTCTAACCTCGAAGAAAAATTAGTTCCTCCTCGAAATGAAAATTCACGACGATCGACGCCAGCTCAATCACGACGTTTTCCATTTCTTCTTCTTTTTTTTTTTTTTTTTTTTTTTTTTTTTTTTTCTCCCCCCCTAAAGTAGTTGAAGGAAAGAACATAATAAAACCTGTTTTTGATGGGGATCTTTATTCTTTCCTCTTTGGTTTTCCTATGCAAACAGACAGTAACGCGAAACTTTTGTATCATTACTATCTCTATACTTCTTAGGGTATATGGTATTTTTCTGTATTTTCTTTATATTATTATACCGATGAGAGAGAGAAAAAAGAGAAAAACAGAAAGAAAAAATCTTGTGTGTATGTCTCTTGAACCCTGCTAGAAAAAAGTAATAACTCTACAAGCTACAAAGTAGTGGAATGATTCCTTGGAATGGGCACTTTCACGCTGTTTATGGCAACTCGTTCTCAGTCCACTGTATCTTCACCGTTTCTCCTGTACGAGCTGATTCCTCGCAGGCAGATGCGATTTTAGACACAGCTAGAGTTTCTTTGGGCAGCACAGAGGACTCAACCTTCCCCAGCGCTATGTTCACAAAGTGATCCAGCTCTCGACGATAGGCATTCATGAATCTGCTAGGGAACGAGTACCAAATTGGTGAAGTGTTGGTTCCTTGGGTGCCAATCTGTGTCACGACAGAAAGAGGTCGTTGGTTGTCCGCTGTGATCATACCCTTCGGACCGAACACTTCTACACGCTGATCGTAGCCATGTACACTGTTTCGAGACATGTCGATCATACCCAAGGTGCCTGAGGGAAAACAGAAGGAAACTGCTACCGTGTCGTAGTCACCAATTGCTTTGATCTCTGGAATGTGTGCGTATGCTTGGACGGAGACCTGTGATAAAATGTTTGTATGAAAGTGAGATCAGAAATGTATCATAGTGTTGTGGCTGAGTAGCTAAGGACTTTCGTTTGTTTTTGTGAGCTGACAATTGAACTCTTTTGAATTAGAAATCAGTAGAAATTGGGGATCTCAGTGTTAGTATGACCAGATAGCTTGTTTTACACGAGGATTGTATGAGGGATTTAGAGACTACACATTAGCAATTCTGGGTCTAAGCTTTCTATCTAACACACTGCTTTCTTTTCTAGTTAACAGTTCATGGTGTCTATTACCTTGGTAGGATATTCCCCAAGGATCCAAGTGATTACATCAATGTCATGGACCATACTGTCGTGTAAAATGCCTCCAGAATTCTTTAAATACTCCAGAGAAGGAAGAGTGCAGTCCCTGCTGACTGTTTTGATGATATGAACGTGCCCAATCTCACCATTCCTTACTCTTTCCTTAAGATCCAAGTAGCTGGGGTCGAAACGCCTATAGAAGGCACAGAATAACGGTTTACCGTTATTTTTTGCTGTCTCGTAGCATTTTAAGGTGTTCACGTTGTCCTTAGCCACTGGTTTCTCACAGAGCACAGCTTTCTTCCCTTCCAGCGCCTTTCTCACAATTGTCTCGTGTGTGTACGTAGGCGATGCAACTATCACGGCGTCCACGCTGCGCAAAGGACGACAATTTCAATTGTTAATTGATCTCTGGAACCGGGGTTAGCTGAATTTCTTCTCCAATTCAAGGGATCAATAGGAAATAGAGGGTTAACGTTGGAAAAAATTTATAGCAGGAAGTCAGTATAAAAAAAAGTAAGTTTTTTCTTCATTTTTGAGAAATTGAAGAATCAATAGTAGGTATTAATATGAATGTCAAAACATTTCAAGGATAAATTTATAAAAAGAATATCTACACTGACACCTGTCTTCATAGCAGAACCAGGATCACTTATTTGGGTTCGTTGTATACCCTGTCTGCCTGTTTACTCGTCAGAAAAGTAACATCGTCGAGATGCCAGTATTCCTTCATATTCGCCCTGTTAGACTCAACATCGTCCACAATGTAAAGCAGCTTAAGACGAGGACTAGCAATGATATTAGACAAGTGGATAGTCCCAGCTCTTCCAACACCGAACAGTGCAACTTTCACCATAGGATGTCCCAGTCCCTTCTTCAGCGTTACGTCTTCCAAGTATCTACAATAACATCGAACCTCTTTTCAACTCGGAAAAAGACTTAAAAAGACCACCCAACCTCCAGTTTCTTTCCTTTCTAAGGAAGAATTAGATTTTCTATGAAGATTTTGCGAATGCAGAGGGGAGTATCACTCACTTTCGATAGATGGTGTCCTGTACAGGTGGCGAGGGTGATGGTTTAGTGTATGGAGAAGAGGCTTCTTTGAATTTTATTGTCGCCATGGTGCCCTAAGCAGATCGTCAAACAATTCTCCACAAACAGAAACAATTGCGATTAAATATTCGACGCTCTCTGGTATATATACCAACGGGGACCCTAATGTGGAGGCGAGGTACCTTATCTGCTGCAAATTATATCACCTGAGAAACGTTGCTGATGCGAGAATCTCGATTTTTCTTCTTCAACGAAACAGTTGCCTTAGGATGGTAGATTCTTCAAATTGAGGGGTATGTTCGTCAATGGAGCTTTAAGTAGGAAGAATGTGATTTGTTTTTTGCTTTGATAAACAGAATGTCGAATTGTAAAATTTGTAGAATGTGAAATTTATTATTTATTTAGAATTTTTTAGAGCAATGGTCACCCACTCATGGTTAAACAAATAGCTCAAAAAAAGTTCCTGAAAAAAGCCCAATTTTTTGAACCTTAGAATCGCGGCGAAAGTTCATTTTCCCTGCGCAAAAATACCTCAACCATATATCGTAGAACACCTAAAAAAATATTTTCTAAAAAGGGACATTAAATTTTGTCTAATAATTTGTCAAAAAATTTTCAAATATTACCTAGTCAAATAATTTTTTCAACACGTTCCAAATGGTTTGTTGAAGTAAAGGTAAAGATAGATATAATTGAATTAAGTGAAATTACTCGTAATAATTGCCGATAGATAAGCGCAATCAGCTCATGCACTTCTGTGCTTCGATTAGACTTAATTTTTCGATGATGTTTTCTAGAGTTTGCATGAAGCAGGATGAAAGAAAATAGCAGAATTGATGATAATCGATGAATGTAATGACAAAATACTGTATTATTTAACAGTTTATGTTTGTTCATGTTTTTACTTGTTTTCTTCTGTTATGGTATTGTGCCGATCCAGTTATTGATTTACCTTTTATTGATTCATTTAGTAGCGCAGTGTTGTATATGTAAACTGGACTAATGAAGAACAATTAGAATACTTTAACCATAATTTGTACCATAAAGAAGTTTTATTTTTTTTCATTTTGAACTAAACTTTGCGATAAAGAAAAAATAAATGTTATATATACAGTTAAAACATTAAATTGGAGAGCAAGGTTCATGTTAAAATATTGGATATATTGTCAAGTAAAGTAAACAATTTTTTCCAAGGACACCAGTGAATCGCATAGTCAACAACCCCAGTAGAAGAGTCTCCGTCATCAGTATGTACGATTCTGTGTCTGATGAGATTAATAGCCTCAAGATCATTTTATATGTCATCATGTGCAATATGATTTCTTTTGGTACATTCAGGCCATTAATACCTCGAATTCGATTTGAAAAATGTGTCTGAACCTAAGCTCAAAATTCACATATTCCATGCACATATTAATTATTAATTAACGTATTAATTGTATGCAGAAATTTTATTTTTATGGTGATGAAGAGTAGCTCTTTTGTGAAAGAATGCTACCACTTTTTAATTATCTAGTGCATCAACATGAAAATAACATTTCCAAATAAAAATATATCTTCCACTGTACACGTACATATAGTGTTGAAATAATAGGTTACCAGGTCATCGTATTGAGTATCTTCGATAAGTTAACACTATCGAGAGATATGTTGTGCTTATCAAAAAAAGAAAAATTCTATTATTGATCATTCAATTCATCGACCGGGTTTCATGGTTCTTCAAGCAGTTGGAAAATTTGCGGAAATATCATTATTGACAGCAATAGAAGTAAAAAACATTGGCTGTATCTGATCAAAAAGTTTTATACAAGATTCTTTTTTAATAGTTGTGTCATCTTCCTTCTATTCTTCAACAGTATGTTTTGTGTTATTTTTTAAAGATCGATCTCTTCAAGGCAGCAAAAAAGAATTAAAAAATTGGATATTAATAGTAGTATCTATTTCCAGTAGTGTATTTTTTCTTTAATTTTCTCTGAAAGCTTGAGCTATTCATAGAGCATGCTAGATAAGCCTCAAACTTTAAAATTTAGTCATAAGAGCCTCAGAAAAAATTAGGTAATCTCTCAAAAATTTTCGGCACAGTGCATTTAACTTGATTTCCAAATTTTTCTCATAGCCTCATGTCAGACAATGATCTACAATTCATCATTGATCCTAAGAACCCCATGAGGCATAAAAACGACCCTGTTGGTCTCGCTTTCCACGTAGTCAAACCTCTTCATCTCATCCCTGCCTGGGTCAGCATCCACCAAAGATATACTCGACTTGCCCATTCTGTAAATAACGTCACCATAATCATCTAACCAGATAACGTAATCAGCCGCAAGCAATTAACCGCTGAAGACGAGCAGAAAATTCAAAAACTGATAAAGTAGCATTTAAAAAATGATGCAAATTACTTTTTATCAGTTTCATTTAGTCCGACTTTGGAAAAGTCACATTTCAAGACGAAGGCAGCGTCACCTGGCGTAATTAGCTCATCATCGTGCTGGAGGATCAAAATATTCTTGTACCTATTGCCAATCTGAAATAAAATACAATCTCGATTAAATGAGTTTTGAATTATTTTTTAAAAGATCATCTTCAAGTGATTTTTATCAAGTGTTTACTTTTTCAGTGGCACATTCGTTGAAGGGAATATTTATGATGAATGTACCTCCTAGAATAGGGTCCAAGAAACATGGAGATTGCCTGGAATGAAAGCTACCTTGTGTGTAAATCACTCCAGAAAAATCTAAAGACGTTTGAAGCTCTACCGCCATCTCGTCTGCTCCGCAATATAAAGCAATCCGGTCGTATCCCTCTGTGGATGCACCAATCTGCATGTCCATGGACAGATCTTGCTCCCAAATTTCTCCTGATATCGTTGAAAAATATTCTTCTTTCATATCACTGATAATTGTAATTTTTTATTGTTTATCAAGGATAATTGACATTGGTTGTTTTGCAGAAATTGTGTTTGGTAAATGTCTTACTTGGAATAAAGTACAATGTGTAGAATTTATTTTTTAATCACCGGATAAAGTGAAATGAAAAATTAAATTGTCATGCTAGAGTTTGAATTGAAGTAGTTCAATTTCTTTTTAATTTTAATTTTTTTAATTACCAGCTGATTGTTTTCTTAAGGTGAGAATGAAAAGGAGTAGAGTGAATAGCGGTGCTCTCATGACGTAGAACATTGCCAGACGAATGTCCATGAACTAACAGTGAATTCGAGTTCATTAATCGGAAGGTAAATAGTCACTGCTATTACCTGTTCCTGGCTGGCTCCCACTTTGACGCCGGATTCCTTAAAGCTTTTGCTATAGTACACATTCTTTTCCTCTTCCCATTCATAGACAATCAAATTTTTATAATTATTTTTTGATATTGGGAAATTTAAAAAAAATAAAAAATCATAAGTTTTTTGAACTCTGAAGTCTTTCTAATTCTAATTTACAAAATTAGTCAAAAATTTTAGTTAATATCATACTCCATACTTTATTCTTTCAACCCTGAGTCTTCAATTTTAATTCAGAGAATTAGTAGAAAGAAGAAAAGAATATTCAACGAAAAATCTGTTCTGGTTGTCTACATTCAAGACCATTATTAAGGTCATCGAACCCTATCAAATATCACCCCGAGAAAATTAGAATTATTTCATTTTCTCTTCCATTGTATTACATCAATTATTTTCAATTTTTTTAAATAAATCCACAACTTATTTTTCACGCCTACCTCTGCTTACCGACAGGTCGACGTTGTTTCAACAACACCCGCCATATGGCGCAACGATGCCAATCTTCTACCATTCTCAAACCACATGAAACCCGTTCTCTTTTTCACATTACGTCACACCTAACTGTACATGACTAACTTAAATAGCAAACATTTCCAGACCTATAACTCGACTAACTTAAAACTTGTGTACTTAACTCTGGAATACTAACGTTAATTTTGTATGCACACTGTACCTCATGTTATAAAAATAATATTTGTATATTTTTTCTAACTTTATTAACATTAAAATTGTAAAAATTGTTTATTTTAAGTTCAAAACATAACTGCATATAGCATAATTGCAAATCTCATATTGAGATACATGAAAATACATTATGATTTTACAACCATTTTATCAGAATCACTATTTAAATTATTCAAATTGATAACTCTGGTGAAACCAACAGGGTTTCGTAATTTTTGCCTACGCCACTGTCTCCAGCAAGCGTGCTATTTTTCCTATTTGCCAGCTCGTTTACTTACAGCTCATTGGCAACAGGCTCTGCTTATCATTCCGTCGCGATACTCGATAATACTCGTTCATCCACATCTTCAATATTGTTGCTACCGGTAGTATTTTTAAGAATAAAGCAAAGCATCATGGCAACCACGCGTCTCGGCCAAGTCCTGTTCGCCAAGAGTCTGCAAATTGGTCATAAACCACAATATTTCACCAACAATGTGAAGTTCTATTGTTGTAAGTACATATTATCGAATAGGAATTTGACAGTCACATGTTTTTAATTTTTGGGATTGGTATTCTTAAAGGGTAATTATCTTCTTGATCGCCTTATGGTAAAATATTTGTTTCTTTTCTTTTATTGTTTGTGAGCTTTATCTAGCTAAGATTATTGTAATTTATTCTGTGAACTTCGATACTCGATGATTTTTGAAAAATTATGCTAGGATGAGGTGGCAGTTTTATAATTGCAATAAATAAGGTATACAATTGTTCTGTGTTTATGAAATTGTTTGTTAAATTTGAGTGCAGGTAAATTTTCTAAAAAATACATAAGTGGAAAAGTGGTAATAATTTCTCGAAAAATGAAGTAAATGAAATTGTCGGTTGTTGACGCCTTTTGGAAGCATAATGTACAAATACGGGTCCATTTGAGAGTAAAACTAGCGCGAGAAACTCTCGAGAGTATATTTCCGTATTTCTCACAAGTGAATACTGCGTTTGAGAGACTGTCGGAGAGCAGCATCCAACTCTCTGAGAGCGACCCTTCGCAAGTTGCTCTCGAGTGAATACATTCGAATGGATGGTAATATTACTATCGGAGAGTTGTTTCCAAAATGCAAATCAGTTTCGTTTTTCCGAGAGTACTATCGTGTACTACAATCGTCCAACTTGCGAACCATACAGCAATATTCGTATATAGAAAAAAAAGAAAAAAAACCGTCATTGTTAAGGCAATTGAGTTCATGACATGGACGTCCAACAAAGTTATTTTTTTAAACTTTTAATGAAAATTTTTATTTCTTTTCTTTTTCTTCGGTTGTATGGAAGTTGGCTGTGGCACATAAAAAACAGCAGAAATGTTTCGGCAACAATTACCAGCGATAGTAATCTCTCGGCGAGTTATCTAGTGTCTAAAGTAAAAATTCTCGAAGTTGCTTACAAATGAACACACTCAGGAGTGACTATCGAGAATAACTCTCGCGAGTTTCTCTCAAATGGGTACTTATTGTTATCTTAACTCTCATTATCATACAAATCCATCGACCAATCCACTTCAACAATTGCAATATTTTCCACAATTTTTCTATAACCTTACAGTTGACAAAATTACGCAACTTGCAGGTCAGGTCCAGAACTATGAGTACGTCAAGGTCGAAACCACAGGCGAAAAAAAGAACGTAGCTTTGGTGACTTTGAACAGGCCAAAAGCTCTGAACGCCCTATGTGATAAATTAATGACGGAATTAAATGATGCCGTGTTGAAATTGGACCAAAACGAGAATATTGGAGCCATTGTTGTTACTGGCAGCGAGAAAGCCTTTGCAGCTGGTAAAATATCTTTTAAACGACAATTTAAAACAGAATATTCTCCAATTTTTTAATCATTTTTTCAGGTGCTGATATCAAAGAGATGCAAAATAACACTTATTCTCAGACAATCAGAGGTAACTTCTTAACAAGTTGGGATGGTGTCTCTAAACTCTCAAAACCAGTTATTGCTGCTGTGAATGGTTATGCTGTATGTTTACACAATTTAGAAAATAAAAAAAAAATTCTTTGGGTCTAAGATTACATTTTTATTCAGCTAGGAGGAGGCTGTGAGTTAGCAATGATGTGCGACATCATCTATGCTGGTGAGAAGGCCAGGTTTGGCCAGCCAGAGATTGCCATTGGCACCATTCCTGGTGCTGGAGGTACTCAAAGACTGACCAGAGTTGTTGGCAAGAGCAAAGCCATGGAAATGGTACTCACAGGCAACCAGATCACTGCTGAGGAGGCTGAGAAGAGTGGTAGGTTTATTAAAAAAGAATAAAAAAAGGAATTGCTTTGTTATATGTTTTATAAATATTTTTTATTAACAGGTTTGGTCAGCAAAGTCTTTCCAGCAGATAAATTGGTAGCAGAAGCGGTTAAATTGGGAGAAAAAATTGCCTCACACTCCCAGTTGGTTGTTGCCATGGCTAAAGAATCTGTCAACACTGGTACTTATCAAAATTGCACTAATAATGACTATTTTTTAAAATATAAATTCCTTTTGCAGCTTATGAGACTACCTTGAAGGAGGGTCTCCACTTTGAGAAAAGGATGTTCCATGGCACTTTTGCTACTGTAAGAATTTTTTTAGGAGAATATGTTAATTTAAGAAAAAAATTAATTCATTACTCAATTATTTAATTAAAATTTCAGGCTGACAGGAAGGAGGGAATGACAGCATTCGTTGAGAAAAGACCACCCAAGTTTACAAACCAATGAGTAGACAAAATGCCTAATTAAGACTCCATTATTGGAGTGACAATACTCCGTGTAATTGAAGATACTTATTTTTCTACCAGATTGTATACAGTTGCATTTTATTATGGTCAATAATAGACGATTTTTTTGTTTAAAAAAGAAAAAAATAGAAGAATGAATGAAGACGTGGTTAACGCTCGCAAAGAACTTTTATTTTTTTCCGTTTTTTTCTTTAATAGCTACCCTTACAATCTAACACATGATCCTTGAGTATGATACATTTACAGTTAACGGCTCGTACCAGGTAAATGTTTATTATTAATAGTAATAATCCTGATGGTTTTGTGGAAGCATGGAAACGTCATGGACGTCGTGGATAGGTTATGTCCAAGTACAATTAGGAACAATGGAATTTCTTGTTCTTCACAACATCTTACGCAATAATAAATATCAAAGTTCATATATAATTATGTAATAATTCTCAGGAGTACTTTTTTCAGATTTTCTCAGAGAATCGAATACTATTTCATGGTATAAAAAGATGTTCCCTTTTTCGTAGGTTAAGTACCCGCCAAAAAAAAATGATCACAATTTCTTTTTCTTAATTTGCAACTACAATACAGTGGTCCAAAAATGTTTGTTCGTGAAAATTCAGTAAATATTCAGCGTATCAAATTCGCCTGGAAAAAACAGCAGTATCAAATAGGGACGAATTATTTTCGAAAATACTCTTCTCTCCAGAGAAATCATTTTCTTCTCGATCCCCTTGTAAAACCTGCTTGACTAGCTAACACTAACAATGTACAGGTATGATGGAAGGGCCGTGCATACTTATGTTTCCCTGGTTCTCCTTGTCTCTTCACTTTAAGAATTAAAAAAAAAAAACGAAAAAAATATCAAACTAACTACCTTACAGGCTAAACATCTCTCGTTGCGTTCCTTATACTTAATAATCGTTACTTTAAGTACACACCAAGGGGTTCCGTGTAACATTGGGGTGTCATGGGATCTCGAAGAAGCTTCTGGTACCATGAACAGCTCTATTTACAAAGATTTTCTCCCCGAGAAAAATTGGCCAGAAAAATATTCTCAAAAATATCCTCGTGATATGTGCATAAACACGTGACTTTAGATCGTTGGTCATTTCTTTTTTTCTTTTTTATTTTGCCGGGTTCTTGGTCCTGGTTTCTCTGCAGATGGACGTTAGAAGCTTCTGGAGATTGGGTACAATAAAAATTGGGGAGTGTGCTGATCACGCGGTTTCCTTTCTCGTGGTATATATCACAGTTGCAAGCTCTGCTCGAATAACTAAGTTCGTAGAGTTACAGAAGTGGAAATGAAGTGTCTGGTGTCAGGTGAACTTAATCGTTCGACCAAGCGTTTACCGCTTATTGCGGCTTTTCATGGTGAAACGTCTCCAGAAGTTGCCACTCTTCTTCGATGGCGTTGCAACCGGTGTGTCGTAGGGGTAGCTCGACTCTTCGTCTGTATCCTGTGCACTCGGTGTCTCCCTCGTTGGGGATCCACCGTGGCCTGAGTCCCTGTCACCGTCTGCAGAATTTTTTTCCAGACCTAGAAGAAATATCGCGCTGTCATTGTTCTGTAGAAATACACTAAAATAAATTTTCTATTCTAATTTTCAGCAATTTAATGTTTCAGATCATTCCTTGGCTATTGGACACTGCGTAGATGAAGTTTGAGGACTTTAGAAGATATGGAAGCCTCTTGGACGGTTCAGTACTAACTTTACGAAGATCAAATTTTAGAAGGAGATTTTTTCTAGGTCTATTGAACCCATAAAGTCCAATTCCCAATGATCATGAATTTGGATGATACTGTAGACCTTAACTCTGTGCAAATAATTTTTCTTCAGACAGTTCTAGGTCCCCTAACCTAACCTAGCATTCCTAAAATAAATTCTAAATCCCGTTGGAAATCGAGAAATGGTAAACATCCTCTGAATAAAGAAAGTATCATACCTCCAGCACGTAACATGTCCAGAAACGTGTTCTCAGTGTTGCCACGCGTGCGTCCCTGCTTCTGGGATGGTGTCCCGAAGCTCAGGCTCTGGATATTGATCTCCGCCTTGAGCTGTTCAGGCGGGATGTCGTCAACTCGAAATTCATTGGGGTCTTCGACGAACGCCTGCTGTAGGTCGCGCATGATCTTCTTCCGGATGGTCTTCTTCATAGACAGATGTCTCTCCAAGTGTTTCACGTCGCTCTCAGTCAAAGTTTTGCTGTTGTCGCGACGACGAGACTTCTTCTTCTTGCTATTCTTCGGGCTCTCCTCTTCACCGGAAGTGGAGCCCACAGACACCGCGCTGTCGTGTCCTGGAGCCTTCTCCTCAGCCTGGATCCGAGTGTTCTCCCATTTGTTACCAAAACCGAAAATATCCCGAAGGTGAGGGATGTTTCTGTCGGCTGTCTGCTGCCTGGCCATTATTTTCTGTGGTCCACAATTGGGTTGGATACTTCGAGACTATAGGGAATGGCTGTTATTCACCTGGAAAAGAAGTTAGATGTTAGAAAGATATTTGAAAAATTGTGGGAGTCGAGAAATTTTTCTCTTTCCGCCGGTGGATACTTTTTGGCATGTAGAATAAGATACAAAAAGAATTTTTAAAATGTTCGAAGAATTAAAACAGTTACGACTGTTTGAAGTTGTTGACATTATGGTGTCGTAGTAATTCAATTATCTTACGTGTATCACGTCAACCGTACACCGTATGTACTGTAAACAAATATTTTTTCGTAGTGAAATAATTGCTTAATGCACGGATAAAAGATCGTCAAATTTTACCCAATGCTTTGTAAAAAAAAAAAAGTTCCTAAATAGTTCAATTTTCAAGGCGAGTTACACAACTACCTGTTTGAGAAAGAAGGTCATTTACGCATACTTGGGAAGCAAAATTAAAGTGCATGGTAACCTGTTGCCGGTAATAATTAAGAGGCGCGTTTTCCAGACGCTATTAAATCGCACCCCTCATCAGGCAACCCGCCTGATCGACGTTACTTTAACACTACGACGCATTCCCGTTACTGTAAGCACGTATCGTGTATGTGTGTGTGTGTGTGTGTGTGAGTATATGTATATAATGCATTGAGCGTGCATGTTTCCTATTTCAGCTGGGAAGACCTTTAATCGCCGCGAGGAAGACCGGATCCGCCATTTGAAAAAAAAAAACTGATTTACCGACGGCCAATAAACACCCGTCAGAAGTTCAAGTCGACGACACTTTAACACAACGAGCTTATGTCTTGTCGTCCGTCTCTCTGTCCACTATAGTTCGAGACGGTTATACGGTTATTGGTTTTAGGTTTCCAGTGGATGTGCGCGCATTCGTTCCGCGGAAACAAAGAATGGGACAAGAATAGAACGAGTTCTGGTCGTCGAGCGGGAACGTTGACTTTGCCCGATGTTTTTGCCATCCCCTAAACTCTTTAGAACAAAGACTGGTGCCTATGAAGAGAGTGTCTGTCCTTAGAAACGTTGATTTGAAAGACAGGTAACTTTGGGTGGGTAAGAATCATTTTTTTTTTAATACTGCTACCTCTACGTTTTTAAAGGTGCAATTAAAAAATTGCATATCTTAAGTATTTTTGGGAATTTGCGTTTGAAAATTATCCTCGACAACATCCATTAACGGTATTTCAACTCTGCAAAAGGTAGATAAAAGTTGACATTCGTAACTACGAAGTCTCTCGTCTGAATGAAGACTTGAATACCTTATCTACCTAAAAGTATTAAGAAACAGTCTAAGTAGCCATTTTGTAATTCACCGCGAAATTCAACTATCTCCAGACAAAGAATCTAGCCTACCAATTACACTTCAACAAGATTCCTAAGCACATGTACCAACTATGCTAACGAACTCTGGCAACAAAGCGCGTGAAACGAGATTATGGTTCTGGCAGAGCGAAGATCTAGGAACAGTCGTTATTGGAGCATCAATAAAAAGGTTATTGTTCGTGGATAAAGAGCGACGCCAGTTACGCGATACAGCGTGGGCTCGATCCGAAGATCGATAACGCGAAATCTCGCCCACGCGTTTCCCTCCGTGCACTTTCCATCTGCCCGCCCGTGAGAAACCGCTTTATTTATACTCAGAATGTCCTTTTTTCATCGAAGAGTGCTCGGTTGCATTCTAATAGGGGCGCGTGGGCGCGCTTTGCCCCACTGGGTAACTGCCTTTGCCATTTCTGCCTCTTGTCTGTATACATTCGAAAGGAATCGTCGCCAAAAACATTTGTCGATTTTCAGTTTTCATGTAATCGGATAGATCGTTATAATTTGGGATTGGGCACTTCGTCAATTAGTTGTAGCACGAAAAATGTTGTAGAAAGTAGTTAATTATGGCTTTGTTATGAATGGAATGTCTGATGAGTATGATGGTATTATGAGGAGGCTGACCTGCTAACTTCGAAAGATCATGGACGTATTATTAACGACATTCTCCCCTGAAAAATCACTAACACTAGGATTTTTTTCGCTAGGATTTTTTGGACCACATATTATAATAGTAATATTTATCTGAATGTGGTTTAATAATTTTATATATATGTATCCTATACTCTTATTAAATATTTTTCACTTTCATCAAAACAATTTTTCGTATATGTGACCTACTTAACCCTTTAAATTAAGCCATCTTAACTTTCACCCCAAGACATTAAGCATCTAACCTAACCTTCTGAAATTAAAAATATTATAGATCTTACACTTATATAAATTAAAGATATAGTTAGATTTAAAATTAAAATGTATTACAAATAATACAACTCATTTTAGTTATACTTCAACCATAATTTACATCATCAGTGTGACTCGTTATTATAAGGCAAAGGGTTAAACTTGAAAACTTCCAAGAAATAAATTGTATTATTTATCAGAGTAGACTGGATGATTATATTCCCTCTGAGATGGAATAGAACGTTAAGGCTGAACGATGACCGGTTGGAGAATACGAATCGAGCGATTACGAAAGAGTTATTCGCACTGGCTTTAAGTATTCATGATGTGTGCACGCACGTGGTTCACAGGATACCGGTCCGAGTGTCGTGAACTGTTACGCGGCCTGCAATCAGCATTAACACGCTTCACATTTATACGTAGGATGATATTTATCCATGGCAAAACAAACCTCTGCTCGAACAATGCTTATGGTTAGCCATATTTAAGAGGCAAGATCAATCATTTCTTAACGTACCAGCATTTTAGAAGTAGAAGTGTACGTAGAACCAGAGAAAAATCCAATTTGCATAGTAATGGTTAGGTTAGGTTAGGTTACGAACAATCGTTTATTAACGTATCAGCATTTTTTGGTATATCAAAATAGCGTGTCACTACCATGGTTAGGTTAGGTTGACCCATCATGAATTTACTTAACATGAAACCCGTAAGACCATTTGTGATTTACTTTTCATTTTTAAACTAAGTTCACAACTTTCAGAGAAAATGAATTTTTATGCCCTGGCTTTTAATCCTGTAAATCATTCATATTGCAATATTTGATGTTTTTTACAGGATTTATCTTATCTTTGAAAAATACTCTAGAGGAACTTTTATGCATGCAAACTTTTGTAACATTCTGTTTGTACAAAAATTGTACCTTGTTTGTACACTAATGAGATTCTACCTTGTCTATGGAAAATAATAAGAATAATTTTAAGAGTAGAAAGATCCAATCTATATGGTAATGATGGACACAAAGTTGCAATTCTAATTGGATGAAAAATTCAGGAGAGTCATGCACTATAAAAAAGTTGAACATGTGTATGCTGTTCTGAGATTGGTATTGCTAATATTGGTATTGCTAATATTGCTAGTATTGGTATTGCTAATATTCTTTGTGGAGATTTAATGTTTGCAGTGAGGCTTGGTAAAACTTCTAAAGGAAGTAATAAAGTGTGGTAATTGCGATTATGGAGGACTTAGAGGACTCTGAAGTTGCAGTACAAAATTTTAAATCTATCCTTTCAATCAGTGTACTACAAAAAGGTAATAAAATGAAGTTATAAAGAACCATGACTCTGTGAAAGACTCAGAGATGAAAATTTCTATATAAAAAAAATTATTGCACTAAACTATTTAACAGAAAATAAATAAGAAGAAACATAATTAATTATAACCACTCAACAAGTGTCTGCAGAAGCAAAATCAGATGAAGTAAAAATTGCAAATGAAACTTCAGGATGGCAAACCACCATGAAAAACCTTAACACATATAATTCAAAAACTCATGTACTTCTAACAGAACAATTTGACAATTGAAACCTGTCTATAGAGACTCAATGAAGAGTCCATAACTGTAATTGTAATTGCACAGAAAAATTTTCAAAAATTCAATAAGTGGAGCAGGTAAAAAAAAAAAACTGATGGATGAAAAACGAGTTACACCCAAAAATAGGAATGTTCTAAGGGCTGTCATAGCGACACACTGTGCAATGCAAACACTGTTAGGCTAGAAGAAAGAAAAAAAAAAAATGTTGAAAAGCCTGGGTAAAAGCTTGGCCTGATGAAGGTGCAGGG